AACCAAACACCTTTTTAATAAAAAACAAAAACGCCAAGCAACAGCCACGGGTAGGAAGGGAGCAAAGTCGGGAAAAACCCATCCAGGCCCTTTTCCTGACCATTGATTGGTCGGAAGCAAGGTGCCAAAACTAGTGTAAAACCGACAGATAGTCTAAAACGATACACCTAGAACGACACCCGCTCCAACTAAAAATGAAATAAAACGACATCAAACACATTTCTGAAATTTTACGCCTTTAACCAACCCGAGACGAAGGCGATCTCAACCGTTACAGTGCTCGGCCCGTAACAGTGTCCTACATTATGTTGATAAATAATTTTCAAAAAACACTTTCTTTTTAAAGTTTACTCCCACCACTCTTCATTTTTCGAAACCGTACAAAAAGAGTGAAACTCAGAGTTGTGTAACTTTCAGTGTCCTACATTGTCATGCTAAAGAATTTAGGAAAATCCTTATATTTTTCAAAATTTACCCCCACCACTCTTAATTTTTCCAAAGCGTACAAGATATGGGAAGAAAGTAAACTGAAAGTTGCGACAAAGAATTTTCAAAAATCCTTATTCTTTCCAAAATTTACTCTCGCTACACTTAATTTCTTGAATTTCATAAATTTTCACGGTAATATGAAAACTCACAATTTTTTCCAAACGGTGCTTCCACCCCTGGGATCGTTTCATACCGAAATAACAAAATACTTCGTTGTTAGCGTTATTGCAAATGTATGTGCAAAGTTTCAAATTTTTCGAAAAATTTTCCGGTTACCGAACTTCCCCCGTTAGTTCCTCCATTTCTTAAACGTATCCGTTCATACGCGCCTTTCACCAGTCTAATTGCCCCCAAATCGCACGGTTCTCGACCTCTCGCTCCTTTTTTTTCCACTCGACTACCGCTTTGACAGGCGTGCTCCTTTCTCCGCCGTGATTCTGTGTACGCACCAGAACACTTTTACTTACCGGCGGCCTGTCAGTGGGGTAGAGCTGCGTCCTCTGCGGCAACCTTTGACGCGTCGGTACTCCCTGCGTCGTGAAAAGCGGCGCCTCCTGGTTCAACGGTGGCGGTGAAAGGTCCTCAGCTGGTTTCGTGTTGTTCCTCCTCAACGCGACGAACGTCTTCAACAACTGGCCGATAGGTGACGTTTGTCCTTTGCTAGATTTCTGTTTCTTCGATTGTTGCCTCTTCGAGCTGTCTTTCTGTTTCCCTTGCTTCTTCCTCTCCTCTCTCGTGTTGTTCAACGATTGCGTTACCTGCGTTCCATCGTCGAACACCACGTTCACCTGTCCAGACTCTTTCGTCAAGGTGTAATTCCGGTCGAAGTACGGCGGAAATTGCTCGAGAGGACCTCTGGTTGGTACCACGGTGAACAATTGTCCTCTGTCGTTGTTCAGGGTTGTCGTTTCGAACGGCTCCTCGCGTGTAAACGTGATCACAGCCTCGAACGGTAGCTTGTACAACGGCTGTATCGGAGTTGTCAGCGTCAAATTTCTTTGCTGTGGCGAAAGATCGATGCTCTTCACCGGCAACGGAATCTCGTCGTTGAACGCGAGAGGACTGTGAGTCGTGAAAGTGACGTCTGAAGAAAAAACGCCTAGATTGTTGGACACGTTCCTCTCCACGCCGTCGAAGAAGTATCTAGTGGCAAACGGATCGGTTGGGAATTTGATGCTGTCGGTCGTTGTCGTGACCGGCAGGTAGGTCCTCGTAGGAGGCGAAACTGCGTTCGTATTTCTGAAAATGTCGTTGATCTTCACCTCTATAGCTGGTCCAAAGTCTGGAAATTGAGGCACGAACAGCTGTTGCTCTCCAGGTTTCAACGAGTTCGTCGTATCGAAGGTCCCTTTGAAAATAGGCTCCTTGATCCCTGATTTTTGAATGTTGATATGCCTCGTGATGTCCAGAGGACTTGGAAGAGTTGTGTCTGATATCGCAATGTTCCCAAAAGTCGGCTGCAGCTGTCGATTGTTGAAGAAATTCTTCGTGGTCACACCAGTGATGGTGAACGATGGCAGATGAGTATTCTTGGAAGCTTGAAGATTTCCACTGTTCAGGGCGTTTCGTATATGTTCAGGGAATCTACCGCTCTGCAGAGGTCTGACGTTAGCAGGAATTTTTCCCTGATCGTAGTTCACCGTTTGACCAAGATTTCTTACATTTTCCGCGTATCTGACATTCTCAGGAGTCTTCGAGTTTGCGAATTGTTGGACGCCGTTGCTCGTTTTGACCCCGTCGAAATGCTTGAACGAAGGATTCCTAGAGTTCTGCGACTGTCTTACGGTATCTGGAGGCCTCGCACTTCCGGTGTTCTTCGACGGCGATTCTTTCACAGTGGTCAACGTGATGTTTATCCTAGACGCCATCAAACCCATGACGTACTTCGCCCAGGCGACCAAATCGTCCTTCGTCGCAATTTTCAAGGGTAGCTGAATCTCGAGAATTTTTGGTACGCTGGAAAATCCACTAGGGGGATCTTCAGGCGAGCGTTTGAAAGGCGGTGCGGGCATTGAAATCACCAGGTTCGTCGCTATGAGCGCGAGAACTGGGTAAGACGTTGGCACTCTCCTCGTGAGTAGCAACAACATGATCGATTATCAATCTTCTCTTTTCAACAGAAAAATCTCGTCACCGATAATGTACAGATTTGTAGCAACACAGGTGTTTAATATCAATTCATCGTCCACGCGAATTCGTTTGTCAAAACTCGACACCTAGACGTCATGTCGCACTGTCTATCGATCACAGAATCCAACGTTGCTCTTCGATATTGTGGATATTTTGCAGTGAATTTTTGTTAAATGTTCCACATGTCGATCGCGATCGACGATAGAGGGGAAATGGTCGTTAGAATCGCGACGTGAAAACTAGCCATACGTATCGTAAAACAGTTGTTTTATAGCGGATGGAACAATCGATCGTCCCTTTCCTTCCTGATCGTGGAAGCGTGCACTTTTTCCGTGCGACGGTCGGAATATCAGCATTCCTAATGACAGTGCACCGCGCCGCGGCGACTGCACTCACTTCCGTCGTTGCATTTTACAATTACGGGGGTGCGTTTTCTCGTAGGAGGCGAACAGCGCGTGAAACGCAGCTGACGACAGGCTTTCGCAAAAGCCAGCGGTGTGCACCTAATCTGGAAAAACGTGTGCATACGAACCGATGCAATCGAGACGACGATTTTATAATTTCTTTTTTCCCTATCCTAATGGGACGTTCGGAAGAATCAGAGAATCGAGAGTTTACGGATGAGCGAGCTCGTACAATTAGTTATTGTCGGTGTAATTCGGAGATGGTTGCGGAAAGAGGGGAATAATTATTTTGTAAGAATTTGAGATTGACAGTTTCATAGTTAATAAATGGAGTTAACTCTTTTATTCTTGCTGGTGTCTATAGACGCTTTGAGAATTTGTTGGCGCTGTGCCTTTGGCGCCTATAGACGTTTTGAATATTTTCTCGCGCTGTGTCCTTGACGGCTATAGGCGTTTTCAATATTTCCTCGCCCTATGCTCTTGATGGCTATAATCGCTTTGAAAATTTTCTTGCATTGTGTCCTTAGCGGCTATAGGCGTTTTGAATATTTTCTTGCACTGTGTCCTTGAGGCTATAGGCGTTTCGAATATTTTCTCGCGCTGTGTCCTTGGCGCCTATAGCCGTTTCGAAAATTTGCTTGCCCTATGCTCTTGAAGGCTATAGTCGCTTTGAATATTTTCTCGCACTGTGTCCTTGACGGCTATAGGCGTTTTGAATATTCCTCGCCCTATGCTCTTGATGGCTATAGTCGCTTTGAAAATTTTCTTGCATTGTATCCTTAGCGGCTATAGGCGTTTTGAATATTTTCTTGCACTATGTCCTTGAGGCTATAGGCGTTTCGAATATTTTCTCGCGTTGTGTCCTTGGCGCCTATAGCCATTTCGAAAATTTGCTTGCCCTATGCTCTTGAAGGCTATAGGCGTTTCGAATACTTTCTCGCGCCATGTCCTTGTCGACTATAGCCGTTTCGAAAATTTGCTCGCCCTATGCTCTTGAAGGCTATAGTCGCTTTGAATATTTTCTCGCACTGTGTCCTTGACGGCTATAGGCGTTTTCAATATTTTCTCGCGCTGTGCTGATGGCACTTTGTGACACTCTTTTATCTTAATTTAATGCTTGATTTTTGTCCTTTGCGTACTTCCACCTTAATCTTTGAAACGATAAATTTTGAAATTGAATTTAAATTGAATTTTACTGTGTCTATAGGCGCTTTGAATATTTTCTCGCACTGTACTCTTAATGCCTATAGGCGTTTTGGTTTGGCGCCTTTTGGCACACTATCGCCCCAACTTAATCCTCCATTTTTGCCCTCTGCACACTTTCACCTTACTTTTATAAAGGAAACATAAAAACGATAACTTTTGAACTTTAATTTTAAAATTTTAAAAAAATGTAATAATACCAGAGCGAAAGATTTTGCAGCCACGATTGAACCTCTATCCTCAGCCACACGCGTTAAGTACTACAATCTTCCGCAGCGAAAGGGTTAAGAGAGTTCTATCGTTGATACATTCAGGAAGAATGTTTAAGAGAGTACGATTTATCGTTGGTTCCGGCCATGATCAAGATCTTGAAGTTTCTAGACGTGGCAACAATGAGCTAGGTGCTCCAGGTGAACGATCTCCCGTCACGATCATTAGCCGTTTCCACTAAGGAACAAAGCAAGGACAAGTTTAACACGATCCCACGCTGATGAAAGTTACCACGCTGGTTCGTTCGTGTTTATTAATCTAATCCTACACGGTCTGCAGCTGTTTTTCAGGCTTTGCTTAGGTTACATTAACCTGTATCTATACCCCGCCCTCACTTTCAATGCTCCAGTGCAACTTCAGCTTCGTTGAAGTTCATTAATAGTCGCTATTTCTCGATCTAATCTTAACAGTCGGCCGACGATCTGGGTCATTTGTGACCCGTATTATTCGCGCGTGTAGATACAAAGTTCATAGGATATACAGATGAGACTTAACTATAAAAAAGACTTTCATTTAATTGTTTCTTTTTGTTATTATTAAAACATTATTAAGTAATTATTAAAAATTCGTTATTATAAAAATATTAAAATTTTGTTGTTATTAAAATTATTAAAATGTCAGAGCAAAACATGTCTGCAACCTAACGTTAACATGACATAAAAATGATTAAAAAATCGGTGACAAATTCTTGCTTTCCCTATTTACATATCTAACTCTCAAACTCAGAGTATCAGTATGAAAATTTCATATTAAAATAAGTCACGCATATAAATAACCTTTTTCCTGAATTCTTTCCCCTGCAAAATTCGATCGAATACTTACATTTCATCACTTCTGAATATATATACCCAACTTTTTCATGCTAATACTCTACGGTGACGATTAACAAACCCACGCAAAAAGGATTCATTAAGCCGCTAAATACGACACGTATGCAAAAAAAGGATTGAAAACTGAGAGAATCGTGCGAATAAAATGAATAATAATTCTACCATAAATCTACGGACACTGTCGCAGGGACTCTAGGTTAGTCTTGCTCAAAGAGGGAGCAAGAAACCGTACACACTCCGTTACGATAGAACGATGGATCATCCTCGATCGAACAGGTTTCGCAACGCGTTTACAACGAGCACCGTTAGATCGGTTTACTGACCAGCCTCAACCGGCCTTATCCTGGCATAACGATCGTACCAGATGCCGAACGGCCACCATTTATGGTACAGATCCTTTCAAGGTCGGTACAGTTGCTCGATAGAATTTCAATTCCCTTGGTGACTCGCCACTTCCTTCATCTCTCTGCTACACACGTTAGAAAGAAACGAAGTCAGGCTCCGTTCTTGTTTATGCGCAACGATCGTGTTACGCCATTAGCGGTGTGGTTCGCCGTGCTTTCATTAACGATCGTGGGTGTTTGTAAATCCACGTTAACCCTCTTACCGAATTGGAGACATTCGAAACGGAGGATTGGAAAGTTTATCGACTTCGAGATGTAGATACCAGTTTTCGACGTTTCCGTGTGTATTTATATGTTTGCGAAATTCCACGATTTTGCAAAATGGGAGAAATGTAGGGGGACGGCCGAAAGGTTGCCATTTTCTAGTTATCTAGGTCCCTTGCTCAACGTATCGAATCACTTTCTACAAGGATAACGTGCGACGTTCCTGTTTTTTTTCTTCCTCGGCAGTCTTCGTGTGATATTAACATTCTGAAATGGTTTTTTTTATCGAAGAGGTACGGTGGACGTTTCTTGTACCTGTTCTTCGTTGCAATTCTAATAAAGAATGCAATCGTTGCTGTTTCTTCTAGCGAATAAAATTTCCTCGTAAATGAAATTTGTATTTCAGGAGCGCGTCAGAGAGAATAGTTTTGAATTATGTTTTCTGATTTACGTTTACTACTCCGTTTGTACCGATCTCCTTTTGTTCGAGTGTAATCCCGTTGGAAGGATCGTATCTTTCGTGTTAAATTTTTACGGACAAGAAATTGCTTCGGTGTGTTCAGTTGTGTGTCTGCGAATGTTTTAACGATTTCTATGATTACGTTGAAACGATATCTGTGATTGTCGGAAAAAATATTGAGTTTTATATGAATAGCGAACGTACAGTGATCGAAAAAAGTATTCATACACCCTATAAAATGGAATAACTTTTTTAAAATTGGGCCAAACCACTTCAGTTTTTTTGAGAAATTAAAAAGATTAGTTTACTAGATGACGTGTCAAAAAATTTTTGAAAAAACTGCAATTAGTCGGAATCGCGAAGAAAATAGCGAAGGTCGTTTTTACAACTTTTTTATCTGAGCTCGTAATTTTAAAAATACGTTTTGTAGATCTATGTCAATTATACACACGCTGAAAATTTCATCGAAATCGGTGGACGGAGAAAACAAGCGACAGGCATCGAAAGATGTAAGAATCTTCAGATTTATTAGTGAAATAGTGCGATTTTCACAATCTTTAACCGTTTGTAGCTCATAGCAAGAGAGACTTTTCTCTAAAATTTTAGTGTGATTGTAGCAAAGTTTGCGATATTTTGCAAAAAACATTTGCTCCCTTAAATTGTATTCTTCAAGTGAACATTAAATTATGTAAATATAATTTTAGAAAATGTAAATTTCAAATGAATCCGATGGAAATTGCGAAAATACGCGTTTAACCCTTTCACTGCTGTTGGCGCCTATAAGCGCCTTGAAAATTTTCTAGCACAGCGCTGTTAGCGTTTCACCGCAATTTTTTACTTTCGCACACTTCCACTTAACTTAATTTGAAATCAATTTTCGAACGATTTTACCGAAACGAAAGATTTTGCAGCCGCGATTGAAAATCTGCCGCAACGAAAGGGTTAAATTTCTTTTTCATGAAAACTATTCCACGATTTTATTGGCAACTTGAATGTAAAACTCTGGCTGTGTACTGAGTTACGGTATTAACCCTAGAGCGGTCTTCGGGTCTTTTTTGACCCACCGCCTTTTTATATTTTTAGTCATTTTTGCTGTTATCAAGTTTACGTTCCTTAACATTATTTCAAACGTTTATTGTCTAGGTTCATACGTCGCGTTAGAGATAAAAATTGTTTCGCATAAGG